CGTATTTCTAAATATGTGTACTCTTTTTCCTACATTAGGATTTTTTTTCCCATAGGGTTTTTTCCTAATAAGGTTTTAACGAGGCACATTATTTATGGACATCCAAGGGGGAGTGTTATGATAAAAATCAAAATATGGTGGATGTCTACTCTTCCTCCGTGATCTTTCTCTCAAATGGTTAATGACATATTCAATGACATATTTTCTATGTTCAATGACATATTCCATGACATATTTTCTTCACTTTTCATGTCTATATAAAGGCCTTGTAATAGATAGGAAAATACACACAATTGAAGAAGAAAATTTCTTCCTTCTCTCTATCTCTATTTCTTGTTCATGTTTTACTAAATTGCTTTTATTTCTTGTTCATGTTTTATTAAATTGCTTTTATTTCATAACAGTTATGCATTTTTATCTAAATTATTGCAAAACAAAAAATAGATATTCAATACATTCCCGATCGTAGTATTGAATTAAATGTCTTTTGTTAGCATTAGTATTGATTTGATTTTGGTTTGAGCTTTTGTTAACACTATTTAATTTACTAATGTTAATGGCTATAAAACTTATTGAAACATTCAAAAATTCTAAGTTCAGTCTTGAAATAATACCTCAAAAGATAAAATTATGAAATCTTTTAAAAAATATTTATAAATTACATCACAATAAATATATTTATATATTAAATATATCTAAAATTTCTATATATTGTAATGTCGGGTTGGTTTGGTTTCGGTTTGATTTTCTTTAGTTAAAACCAAACCAAACCAATTATGGTCGGATTTTTTTTTCACCACCAAACCAAATCAAACAAACTCATAGTCGGGTTTTTTTTTCCGGTTTAACTCGGATTATCGGGTTGGTGCAGCTTGTCGATTTCCTTTGTACACCCCTACTTCCTGATTACATGGCAACAACTTTACCAATTACGTCAAGACTCCCCTTCAGGTTGGGTTGGACTAATTTACTATGAACTGAAATGGAAAGTAAATGTGACCTAAATCGATGGTAGACGGGGAGGCAAGTACGACACTCTTCTGAAAAAAGAGTTAGTTTTCATTTCTGCAAAAACAGTTGAAAACACTTTTTCAAGAGCTACTACATTTTAAATTTTTTCAAACAAGTGCGACCGAAAGAGCGCCTTGCGTACGACCACTATTAGTTAATTCATATTTCATCCATACCATCATAACAAGTTTTACATTTATTTATAACCCTTCTCTTTCCTTGGGCTGGCACTGAAGTTGCGTCTATTGCGTTAACCAAAACATACAATGCGAAAGCCAATGCCAAAAACATGTGGCATTCTTATGTTTACAGCTCGTTGTGCATTCAGCAACCACAATAATATAAATAGTTAACTATACATAAAATATAAACCTCTGTAGTTATACATGTTGCTGAATTACCCGTCAACACAAACATATCCAATATTTCATTGCCTCACGATGGGACTAAGCTGCTAAAGATGCGTTTTAAGCTGGGACATGCAGCACGTAACCTCCCCATGCTCGGTGGGCAAATCTGTTAAAAGTGGCAAAAGGACCATGAGCATATAATAAACCAATATGGGGCATATTCCTAGCATCCAAAAATATCCCTTACCTTGGGACAAAAGCGTACATCCAGTGTCTCAAGCATGGTACATCGTGAAATTGCAGCTTCAACAGCTTCCTCGTCAATGTTGCAGGACTATACAGCAACAAAACAAAAGTCAGGAACACCTCGGCAGCACAATTGCATCACAAAGTGTTTCAGGCAACCAGGAACTGTTTAGACACTATAGAAAGAATAGCAGTCGATTTCACGAGCACTACACTAAAAAGTGATATGAAAAGGTAAAAGGAGGGAAGCCTGAAATGTGTCACTTATAGAAGTAAAATAAGAGAAAGTACACAGAGATTCCTAGGCAAGCAGAACCTTCTTCTAAAGAAGAACTAGAGGTGGCAAAATGGTTAAAAGAAAACAGTTATCCACCCATATTATCAATCAAAAAATGGGTTGGATAATGAACCATTTAAAAACATGTCGAATATGGATAAAGAACCATATTATTCACTTAGAAAATGGTTAACCAAATGGATAACTAATGTGTTTAACTTTTACATTTGTAAAGCTTCAAATAGGGATTCCTCAAGTTTGGAAGGCTAGGAATTCTTTTATAAGTGATCATATTTAAGAAGCCATGGATAATATGGACCGCCGGATAAACCTGTTTTTTATCCGTCTCAAATACCGGTCGGGTCGGATAATTTATCCGTTTTTTAAATTTCCCGTTTTGACCCGCTCATATCCGACCTGACCTGCCTATTTGCCACCCCTAAGAACAACTAAGACACTAAAATCTTTTATATCTCCTGCCGAGGAATGGTGCAAGACACCCCCAACAATTATGACAAGTCCCAGAATCAAGTTATAGCATAAATTTTACCCAAAGCACATCATGCTCCAGGAAAGAGGGGCAAGATGCTTCAAAAATACGCATGCCACCCCCTAAGAGTACCTCAAATTTTAATTCCAAAATTTGAAATTTTCGATAACCCATCCCCATGAATGCCCAGGAGGACCATGAAGAGTACTACGAATACTTGTATTTTAGTAGGCCAGTGAGTTATTTTTGAGCATTCATTAGAGAATATGCAGCTTGATGACGGATCTTTGGAGAAGGAGGAAAAGAAAGTGGTTCCTAGAAGATTGTACGCCACCATTGTGTCAATGTTGAACGCTAACCTCGATGGCAAATTTATGTGAGGTTAATCACATGAGTATTTTAATGCAGAGTTTAACATAGCAAGTCAAAACAAGATCAAAGCATGAAACAAGTTTGCATTTTCTTCATATTTGAAGAAACACTTGAGTTCTTTACCAAAAAAAGAACATGCAAGTCAACTGAACAAACAAAAAGAAGCGTGCCGGCATTTAGCAAATATTAAAACAAACTAATTTCATAGATTGCTATCAGATCCAATTATACGATCTCATCTACAAAACTTTACTTAGAAGCAAAAGCACCTGATACGAAATGATAAAGACCAACTAGAAAGAACATTTTTTGCAGCAACGCTGCTGCTACAACTAAAACAACCAGCAAAGGATATGCCAAATTGAAGATGTAAGAATACCTGAAGAAAGAGGCTACTCAATCTTGGACATTCCAGTTGCAACGATTCCAGTGAACAACAGTTGCTGAACAAGAGAACATAATTCATTAGAAGTTACAACTTTGATTATGAAAACAAAATTGTTGATATCAAACTAACCTATGAAGTCCTATTGCTAAAGAACATACCTCAAATTGAGAAAGCACAGGTTGTAACAAGCTATATCAACCTCCTTCAAATTCGCAGACAGGGAAAGGTTTAATGATGACAAAAGGAAACCTTGTGCCATCGGAATAACCACCTTTTTTATATTTGGGCAACCTACACAATTTAGGTTCTCTAGCAAACGCTTTGGTTGTTCATTTGGAAAATGTTGTTCTACCAAGGAAGATCCATGAGGTGCTATACCAACACTGGGTATACGCGACCGTTGGTCACCAGTAAATCCCCAGTTCAAATCATGCATATTAACACATCCATTCAAGCTGACATGAGTCAAATGTGTGCAGCAAGCAAGCAATTCCTCAATGGCTGATTGGCACAGCGTCCCATATGACAAATCCAACTCACAAAGGGCTGGGAGAGCATTGTCTTTGTAAAGAGGTTCCAAAGATGTATCGGTGAGATACTTGCATGCTTGCAATTTTAGGACCTAGAACAGAGCAAATAGATAAGCTTAGAAAGGGGGGAAATGCAGTAAGCAAAAGACCATGAACGTACCATACAGATGCAAACAAACATAATCCCAAAAGCAGTAGGAACTAAGAAGGCAGTGTACAGTGCAGCCAGAAAGAGATATACGCACAATTGTGGTGTTAAAATACATCACAGAAAATTTCAGATTGAAAATGCACCTAAAAAAAATTGAAATACAGTCAAACCTCTCTATAACAGCGCCATTTGTTATGAGATTTTTTAGCTTTTATAGCGAATGGTTGTTATACACCTATAACAACATTTGACGTTTAAATAATTTTTAGCTGTTATAGATAAAACTTATCCAAAACTCAATTATTTTTCTTTTTTTAATGTTACATATAAAAAATAAGAAAATTATTCAAATTTGGTAATTGGTAAATAAACTTTTTTATAAGAGTATCTTGTCCTCCTAGACCCCATTTATGGGAATATACTGGGTTCGTTGTTGTTATCTTGTCCTGAAAAATTAAGCTTTTGCTTCTGCTTCTAGTTAATGAGAAGCTTCAAATTTGAAGCTTTTCGCCACAGCAGGAAAAAAACTTCTGGTACTGAAAATCAATTTTTTTCCTAGAAGATTGTCACCACCTTTAACTTCTAAGAAGTACTCGTTTAAAATAAAAAGAATGCTTGTAGTCTCTAAAAAACATGGCCAAAGAGACAACAATTAAGTTCTTATTGTCATAATTGAATCAGTTTTGCTGAAGTGACCTATTTGATCATTCAGAACTGATTTGCGTATTGTTACTTGCATCCATGCGTTCAGCTTTTGCCGCAATTGGAAAAAAGGGAGAAGACAGGTATAGAAAAAGGAAACGGGGAGATTGAGTAAAGTAGGATTGGCTTATGACCCAGTGTTCATCGCATCGTGACATGAGTAAATTTTGTAGTAGGTATTTGAGCTTCCCAAACTTAACCCAACCAATCCATTTAACACCCATAAAGAAAAGGGATAGGAAAGCGGCCTTAAATTTACAAGATGAATAAATAGGCATACTTTTTTCAACAAAAATCGAGCATGTCATATCAAGTTCATCTAAACTAAGCACTGTGATGGAGAAAGTGATAATACTTAGATGGAAGAAGTTACCTTTAATCGCAAGCATGATTCATAAACAGGCTGCAAGTTAACCAAAAATGTGTAGGATAGATCAAGGTAGGTCAAGTTTGGGAGGGAATGCAAAGAGAGCAGTCCATCACAGCCAACAGATGGACATGACATTAGTATTAATGACTCGATAAGGGGGCATGATGAGGTCGTGGCAGATAAACAGTCATCCTTGAGTTGGCTGCATATATGGAAAGACATTAATCAGACGTGAAAAAAAACTGAACAAATATACATGTGTGACAGGTGAAACAAAGTAAGCAACCTGCAGAATGAAGCATCAAAAGAGGTCAAGAGAGGGCAATTAATGGATGCTTCAGATAGCACACCACAGCCCTTCAGCTCAAGTGAAGCCATTTGTGGAGCTTCGATATTGAGCACACTCATTTTGGGGCATATACCGAGATTAAGTGACCGAAGACCAACCTGCAATACGAAAATGCATTCATCAACTTCTTGGGAGGAAATAGAAATAAAAAAGCATAGTAAAAATCATAAAACTATAAGGTAAACATACAACTCCATCTCAAACCCAGATAGGATGCAAAACAAAAGAACAAATGATATTGAGGCTAAAAAGAAGCCTAAGGTCACTTACTGGGGAAAAAGATGCTATTTCAAGATGATCACAACCATCTAAAGAGACTTGCTCAAGATAAGAGCACCTGAGTTGAAGAGAAATTAAAGCACGGCAACCAGCAAGTGAGAGAGAAACCAAAGAAGTGCTGCAGAAAGCCACAGCTGTCAAGCTCTGAACAAAGGGAGAACCACAATTAGATTTAGACCGTAATAATGCATACAAGTTTTTCAAAAAGAAAAAGGAAAAAGGAAAAAGGTGAAGTTGAATAGGCAAAAATATATCATTATTTTCTTCCAATATCAAAACAAAAAAATATATTTTCTTTTCCAAATAGGTGGTAGCCAAAAGAAAGAAAAAAGAGCACAGAGAAGCTGAATGCTGCATTACGTTAGGAGTTTAGAGACGTATCGAGGGACCGAGGGGGGAAGAAAAGATCTCAAAGCATTTCATTAGACGTAATTAAAAAATGTATGAATGCTTTCATGTGGCCAATCCAGGATAGCTCAATAAACTCTCCTCTAGAAATTGGTTTTCTTGAGCCTCAATTATAGCTTTAATTGATTCACAACTTTAACACCACCAACAAAGCAACCAACTTCTATTGGGGTGGGTTGGGGTTTTTTTGTGTGTGTGTGGTGTGGGTGGGTGTGTGTGGTGTGGGTGGGTGTGTGTGGTGTCCACATTTACTTGACTCACTATACTTTTCTCTGAGCACTTTATTTTATCCTTTCCTTTAGATGGAATGTTCATGTTTACTAGAACCCATACTAAAACCGCGGAATCTCTCCTTTCCTCCCACTCGCTCCCCTTTTTACTGGAGGGGGTTAAGCTGAAATACACTCCCCCCCCCCCTTTTTCCCGTGAGGNGTAAGCTCTCATTTAAAAATATGTGTGATGCAAGATCAAGAAAGGCCAAGAATCCAAGAAATTCAAGAAGTACAAGAATCCATTCAAGATTAGGATTTCTTTTCCTTAAACATTTGGATTTCTTATTTCTTGTTTCCTAGTAATTTGATTCTTGTTTTAGTAGGATTAGATTTGTAGTTCTAGTCAAGTAGGATTGTTAGTTAGTATTCCGTTCCTACTAGAATTGTTTTACCTATTTTAGTTTGGATAGGTTTTTCTTAACCTTATTGTTATTCTAGTTTAATTAGGATTAGTTTCCCTAACCTCATCAATTTTACCCATTGTAAGGCCAATTTAAAGGGCTCAATATGCTGAAAATAAACATTGGTGATTAGTTTTTCAAATCTCTTGCTTCAAAAGCGTGATTTATCTTTTATTTCACTCTTCTTTCTTTATTTAACGCTTCTTGCAATCTTGCAGGATTGAGGAACGAGTGGTTAAGGCTATTTCATCTTACATTCTTCTCACGTGAGTTTGAAGAATGCTTTCGCGAGTTTTGTTAAACAATTTGGCAGAATGCTTTGGTTTATTCTCTTCTTTGTGCTTGAGAGGTGCAACACCTTGAGAGTACATCAATATGTGCATAAAAATCAGCGGCCAAGATTTTGTTAAACCGCCTTTCATTGTCAAGCAAAACTAAGTAGAGATACATATATGTTGGTAATAGATGTAGAAAATCATGTTCAGTAGCACCTCCTCTAGTTAACAACCAAGCATGCACAAGTTTAAAACGAACTACTAAAATTGCTAACCTCGCAATTATCTAGAATTAAGGATTTAAGCACAGGACAGCCACCACCATCGCTGAAAACTTCACAGATAGAATTGGTGAGCGATTCGCACTCAGTAAGGTCTACTTCTAGCAAATTCAGGCACTGCAATGTAATTGTTGTCAAGCTTTCTTGCTTCTGCAAAACTAATTTCTGTGGAATGATAAAGGAGAGAACCATTATCCCATGAATAATGTTAGTCAATAAATTAAAGTGATAAGATAAAATATCTAGGAAGAGACTTACTTTGAGTGCACTTGAAGTTATATTGATTCGTTGGAGCAGTGGGCAATTAGAAACAGTAATTGATGATAACATGCCACTATGCAAGTTGAGGTCAATAAACCTGTCTCAATTTAAACAGAAAGTTAGTGCCCAAAGGAGTGACAGAAGTTAAGGCTTGGAGAAAAAAATTCCTGACACTGGACATGGAAAAAACAAAGATATTATCATACTTGCGACAATGTACGAGTCTGATGTTCTGAAGGCGAGGAAGATCCAAGGACACTGATGTTAATAAACTGCAATTATCAAGCTCTAGAACCTGAAAAGCAGTGAAATTCACATATGAGGTTTAAGGACTCTTGAACACAGCATGGTTACCAGTATGAAAAGTGTGAGGAAAGACTCAAACCTCTAACATATAGCTATGGGCTATGGCAGCCATGGAAGCTGATGTTATGCCCTCACAACTGTGAAGCTTGAGAACAGTCAACATAACCAGCCTCACAGACTTCAACAAGGAACAAGTGTCAGCATAAACCAACTACGTCAATTTCAGGTACTACATAAATTTAATGAACATCAGAACCGACCTCAAGAGAAATGTTAGGGCAGTATGAAGCATCTAGAACTCGAAGACTTGCACAAGTTTGAGCTATTTCTCGCAGTGTTTCATCACTAACACATGAACAATTTGACATATCCAAAGACTCTAAAAGAGGGCATGCTGTTGCTGCTGAGCGAATAGCGGCATCTGAAAGCTTGTGACATGAAGCTATATCAAGGTCATGTAAAAGTGGGCAATTAAGCACGGCATGTGGCATGCTACTGCGCTTGAGTGACAACGTTTCAAGCTGCGGACACCTGTAAGAATAACAGTTAAGCACAACTCGGCACCAACTACATTGATAGTATAACATGGTCTATTAACATTTTACCTGACAGAAACTCGAAGCACACGACACTTCACGAGCTGCAGAAGACGCAATCTGTCATGATAAATAGGTATCTCCTGAATACCATTTCCAAGAGTAGCATCATTAACAGTCAAGCTCTTCAACATATGGCAGTCCGTTAAGGCCTGGAAAAATGTTTCTCCCAGCTGACCTCTACCCAAAGTCAGAGCTTCAAGATTTCTGGAAACAATGAGATGTATCAGATTAGTCACTTACGGTGATCCATAAAGTAGTGCCAACAACATAAAAACCAATTACCTTAATGAGGAAACCGCTTTCATTGCTAGTGGATGAATATTAAGAGTTCCATATAAATTAACAGCTGTTGCATTTGGGTATCGTCGACACATATCCTCAACTGTCATCAAAACAGTCATCAACTCTTTTTGATACGTGAAAGAAACAACCACAAATTATATCTTGTGTAAGCACACAGATAGCAAGAAGCTGTTATTGATTGAAACATAATTTGATGTAAAGGTATCTTAGCAGTGTGCAAAGTTGCTAACTTCAAGTTTTCAACTGAGAACAACTTCCTAACAGAATAAATTACATAAACAAAATAAGAGGGTAATCACTCAACTAGACATGTTCTCTCACTTCTCACATCACATTACAGAATATCATTCATAACCCACCTGGAAGGAAACCCTTATTCTATTAATTGCTAATATTTGGCAATCTCTTATTCTAGCGCTGAGCTCTATTAACCAGCTAAGGACGCATCAGCTTTTTGGTTAGGTATTGATAAGTTCTGCCTGCCCTTTTCAATCAACAAAGACTAAAATCTGAAGTAATGACAGTTCCAACATCTGGTGATCTTCAATAATAGAGAGATATTCAGATGCATGGTCAGGTTTATGAGTAATGTAAGACACAAACATCTCTCCCAATCTCTTGCATTTTTTCTTGCCAATAATCAAACCAAATAATCAATTGCTCAAGATCATCTAAGAGACAAGGGAGTTTTCAGGCCTAGGTTAAAGTATGATCTGCTTTTCTCTGTATCACCATACAACAACTTTATCTTCAGAGTTTCAGTCCTCAATCCCAAGTATGATGAAGATGGTTAAAAGTTCTATAATTGCTTGAGCCAGAATAATCAAATTATATTTGTGCATACAGTTTCATGATAACATGAATCAAACCGTTGGGGGAAAAAAAGAACAGCATGTCAGCATTTATTACCAGGGTAAAAGATACTCACATTGATCTGAGGAAATCTGCTTGTTCTCAAAATTGAGATACCGCCAAAAATCTTCATGAGAGCTAGCTGCTCTCCACTGCCTACAAACACTTGCAGCTCGACAGAGATCAATATGGTCCAAGAAAGAGAATACCTAGCAGCACATGGGACGTATATTCCTTAATCAGAAACTTAGTGGTAATAAACAATTGTTTAAGCAGCTCGGATGGAACAGATGCCAGGCAACTAGGAAATACCATATGCAACAAGTCATCAGTAAGATCCATCCGCACATCTAAATCCTCCATTTTTGAGATGCCAATATCTTTCCCCTTATCATCTGTAGCATCAAGAAAGTTGGACAAACTCATATCTCCACCACCCTCGTTCATAGGACAAAGGTAACTCGTCTCCTGCAACAAGTGGTTGTCCCAATCCCTGCAAGAATACCAATAAACCAGTCTTTATACAAGCAAAGCTATGAATTTGTTTCAAAGTTCAAACCAGTCATCCAAATTGTATTTTGGCTCAGCCACTTCCATTGAAAATATCCCCAAACACAAAGAAACGGGGAGATCACTAATGGCAGAATTTAGATCTCTGTATCTCTTTATTTCAAAATAAGCACATAAGCTAATCATAAAAACAGGGTACCATTTTCAGGATGTAACAATCTTTAGCCTTCATTAAGGAGGTCCGCGTCAGATATACTTGCTAAACGAAAATTCAAAAGAACCTCAAATTTAGAAATACTTATTTCAGATTAAGTTTATACTCGAGGTTTTGACCAAGGACTCGTGTAACATAACTCGCTATTATATAAGAAGCTTGTTAAACTTCCCTTTAAGTTAGCACAAAAAACTGTGACGACCACAAATGATCGCTCCCACAAACCCCACTAACACAGAAAAATATAAATTAGTAAAATGACCTTTTTTAAACCTAAAGGCATGTTAGCTCACTTGGCATCATCAAGGAATGCAGCAGAATATAAGAGCTTTGAGTGAAAAAGCACTTCTTCGAGTATTTTTTTTTTTTTGATGAAGTGATAACATGTCTTCGAATATTTGGAAAATACTTAATAATAGTGTGGCAAAAAAGTATGTTATCACAAACTCATTTTTTTAGCTTTACGCCTGAATTTAGGCCTCACTTCAAATGACAATTTGTCTATTATCAAATTAAAGAGCTAAATTTTACTTTGCATTTTGAAATTCCATAATATAAGTAGTTTTAGAAATAATTCTACCAAATATTAAATAAAATGCTTTTAAAAAATTTCTATAGTGTTATATTCTTTCTCCTAGAACATCTATGCTAAAATGTACTTTCTCCATAACTAAGTGAACTCGAAAGTCGAAACAGGCTTGACTTTAATTACAACTGTATATAACAACCCAAAAGCGTGCATTTGAGGGACTCTTGAGTGACAGCAATTATCGAGCTGGCCCTATAACAACAACTACGCCTAGTTGTTATTCATTCTCTATTTTGGCCGATTTCACTCCAATATTCCATAATTTGACTAATTCAAACAAAAATAATAACAAAAGACAACAAATGAAGGCGCAGAAGCAGGTCTTACAGCGAAAATGAGTTAACTTTGGGCCTTTTACTACAGGAATCACGATCAGGATCCTCTTTCTGCACTGTTGAGGACGAAGAAGCCTCTTCACTCAACCCTAAATTTAAATTAACATTCAACATTCTCTCACCACTGTNTTGAGAATATCCAATGGATTTCTATTCAAGAATGAAGTAGCATAATACAAAAGATACACAATATGTAGGTACAGGTAGTGAGAGAAAGAAAACAGCAGTGCGAGAAGTGTAGAGAGAGAAAGAAAGAGATCTGATCGGATCTTTGAAGGATGGAAGGCTGGTAAATGGTGACGCTTTTTTGGGATTGAGCTTTGAAAAGATCGGCGGAAACGGAGATTTGTGGCAAACAAGAAAATATGAAGATTTGTAACTTTACTTTTTCTCTCTTATTATTATTCACTTTATCTCTCACAAATCAAATACTCCTATATGCTCCTATACAAATATGATAAGGTGAATTTATATAATCCTGTCCTTTTTCTTTTCTCACTGTGATATTTATGGTGAATTTTGGTTTAACTACTTAACCGTAATGGAGAAAACTTTCTTAAATTTAAATTAATTTTTAATATATATATTGCTAACATGCTAGCTCCTAAACGAATATAAAAGAGTTTATAGTGCAACATGTTTCTTCACTTAGGAGTAAAATGACAATTTTGTTTATTAATCAAGGAGTAGGAGAATTAATTCGGGTGTTTTGGATAAAGCAAAAATGAGTACCTTGCTAATTTACTAACATAGACTCTGTGTAGTATGTTCAAAATCATAGATTGTGGAGCATTTATGCTCGCACTAGGCAATGTATTTTCTTCTAGATTACTATTTACACGATTTGGTTAGTTTTTCAAAAGAAGTTCCTAAAATGTCTGCCCAACTATTTGTGACAACACATTGGAAGACGAATGTTACACATTGTCTGCCCAACCTTTGCTAAATTTAGCATCTGTTATAATTCTGCTCTCGAAGGTGTGAGCAGGGTGGGCATAAAATTCAAAAAATCAAATTTCAAATCGAATCGAATTAATTCGGTATTTCGGTTTCGATTTTTTCGGTATTTCGGTCTAATTCGGTATTGAAATTTCGGTATTTCGGTACAGTCCTCGGTGTTAGAAATTTGAAATTTCGGTATACCGAAATACCAATTTTTTTAAATACATTTTCTTATATTGCCCCAACCCCCAGTCCACTGCCCGTCTGCCTCAGCCCATCGCCTTGCCCACTCTAATAATTTTAATTCCAACAGGCCATCACCCCAGCCCACTCTAAATATGCTCTTCTCTCTTGCCGAGTTGGACATAGTCTTAATTGTTAGTAAAAATTGCACGGAACTTTTAATTTGTACGGAACGTCTTATTTGGTCGCCCCCATTTAACCTATACCCATTTTTTAAAAAACTTTTAATTTGTACCCAATTCTTAAATAACTCCAGCCCACTTTCTCCTCCTTCTTCTCCTACTTCGTTTTCTTCTTCTTCTGAAATAAATAGCTGAAATATGCAAACAAACAAATTAAAAGAAAGGAACTCTATCTTATCACAGCTAGATGCCAACAAGGAGATCTCTCTGATCAGATACCATATTACTCTATAAAACTTCAGTAAAGTTATCTAAACAAAATCAAAGTACAGAATATTGTGGAAAAAGATTGAGTAGCCAACACGATCATTATACAATTTCTGTGTAAAACATAGCGCTTATTTTCTGGTTAATATTGTTTAATCATTAACGTGAAAACAACGAAATAGAGAAATAATGCACTTGATTTACAAATAGTTAATTGCATTGTCAATACAACAATTGAAAGAAATGGTTGAATGTTAATAGCCGGTGAAGGCTTCATCAATTGGATCAATGGAGAGGAGCAAATCCAACGGCTTCATATAAGAGTTAATTTTATCCAAGCTTCAGCTTCAGGCACAACACATAAACTTCAGCTCTAGAGCTGAACTTCAGGCCCGACTACTAGAATGCTGAAGTTTTGCGTGATTGCCTTTGCTATTTCAGCCTCATGTGCTGAAATTATGCGAAAAAGCGAGTACGCTTGCAATTTTTTTTGCAAAGCGGGCACAAGTTAAAATGTGACACAAAAAGCGGGTATAGATGCAAATGCCCCTAATTGTTATGAACTTGAGTATTTGCCAAGGACATGGTTTTTTTAAAAAAAAAAAAAAACTCTCATACCCATTCTGTTTTGAAGTACAAACCTCATCCATAATCATTATAGTTCCAGCTGCCAAGTTACATCATACACGGGGTATATTAATGTGAATAACATCATATGTTGATATTGTGTTGCGGAAATGATCTAGCATTTTCTTAGCTGGCGAGCCAACGATCTTCCTTTAGTTAATTCTTTCCTTTGCTTTACACAGAGAGAGCTTGGGATTTTTTCTAACAGCTTGGAACTTGAGAACATGAATATGGTACTACCATTTAAATTATGGCAATTTAATTGGTTTTCAGATATTATTAAGTGTTCCTGGAAGCATACACTGTAACTGGAATTTTGCGTGAAGTAAAGAGCACCCCAATGGAGGTAGCAATTATGAAAGGAATTTAATCGAACCTACATTTTACTTATAAAAAAAAGAAAAGAAAAAAGAAGAAGAGAGGAATTCAACTGAATCCCATGCTCACCAATTCCTGACAGAAAAAAATCGTAGGCTAGAAGCCATAATATTAAATCGAAATCGTACCGAAACCATACCGAACCAAAATAATAAATATCGAACCGTACCGAAATATTTTGGTACGGTATTTGATATATACAATTGAAAAACCGAATAACGAAATACCGAAACGAAATTCTTAAATACCGAACCGAAATACCAAACGCCCACCCTAGGTGTGAGTAATCAACGAGTTTTTCATCTCCTCCATCAGGTGCATGTATTTATTAACAATGGGTTCATAAGTAAGGTTACCATGAATGAGTATTTTAATTACCTCTGCTGAATCTGTCAGCGGCATGAGGTTTTGACGCTTTGCAATTCGAGGGGTAGTATGTGTGATGCTACCCATAAATCCAATTACTCAATCTCTTTGATAATTTCTAATAATCCACCTGTACCAGCCTTCTTTGGGTTTCTTGTTAAAGCCCTATCAATGTTGAGTGTGATAACACCCATCTCTCGAGGATTCCATTTCACGTAAATGCTAGTATTATGTTGTTGAATGTCATTTTTCCCTAGGATGTGATAAGCTTCTACTGCTTTAGCAATTGTATTGTTGACAAAAGTTAGCTCGTATTTACTATTAAATAGATTACTATTCCTGATTAGTTATAAGTGCCAAAAAAAAGTAAGGTAGCATGCAATTCGATCATTAAAAGCTTGGCTCCTAACTTTTTCCCATGTTAATTCCCATGCATCATAGTAAACATGCCTCATTTGTAAAATAATTTACAATACTTTTGTATTAGTAACAAATAAATATGACACGTGGAATTATGTGTAGTTGACAAGACATAATACGTGGATCGCTAAGAAAATGACAGTTGAAATACTGCATTAGAAGATGCACGAAATACAAGAGGCATGAACAAATCACTCACGGGATGAAGGGATACAATTGCTCGTGTCTAAATCATTCAGCAAATATGGGTTGAATGAATCAAGACAGTAAGAAGGGGAATATTCACTAACCTCTAGTTAATGAAGAATAAGAATTGGAACCGTTACAAAATCTCCACAAACAGTTACGATTGTTTATTACAAACGGATCATTAATGTCATTAATGACATATATAATGATTCGGCCATAAAAGGGAGGAAACGTTATATTTGTAAACCCTTATAAAAGGGAAGAGAATTTCATTTGTAAGCATCATTTGAGACTATATTGGAATATATTTACTTTACTTTTTTACTATCTTGACTTTGCAATCAATTATTTTTTTACTTATTTTTGTCTTTTCCTTTTATATAATTGAGAAAATACGGAATTTCTTGATTATCAGTAACTTGAGCTCTTCTAAAAATAAGTTTTCACCGAATGTATGGTATGGATTCCGAAGGATTACCGCAGTAAAAATATGAGGGGTTAACCTATTCTATTCAAATAGTGACATGTGGGTAACCTACAATGGTAGAGTAGCCGCATGAATATTTTAATCTTGTTAGGGACCTTTATTTTTCAAATTCAGGTGTTAATGGAAAAATCATTAGATCCCTGACTTATAATATCTTGGGATTGAATGAGGTGATAGCATGAGCTGGTAGAGAAAAGTCCATTGCCGGTGAGACCCAACATGAATTCGTCTTTACTGTTTGTGTAGAGGGGGGAATGGATGAGTGATATTCATCAAACTAGTGACATCCTGAGGGATGTGGAAAGATAGTGAATTAAGGCTTCATACCTCATCAGACAACATATTATCAATCTTAATATTCTCATCAAGAAATATAAAAATGGTTGAATTTTATATGGAATCTCATCTACTAAAATCAAATTTTCTGTTATATCAATTACGTTTGGACTCATATATGGCAATGCTATTTATTGAAAAAGGCTTGATTTTTCCACGACCAATATGATTTAACTTAGGAACTTTTCAATGTTTTACTCACTCAGTTAACACAAATATGGCAATGACTATGACTGACGGTGAAACTTTTGATATATTAATAATACATATGAAAAAATGTGCATAGATTGTCAAATTAAGGAAATATATGTAAAAAGAAATTGACTCTACGGCAAAATATGACTGAAAAATTAATTATATCAGTGAAATGTTGAGTGCCAAAATGAGCTGAAATATGAAGATTCGAGTTGTGACGTTATAACAGATTTTAGAATGCGAGAAACCAGACAACCCTTTCCATCTACGAAAAGGTGCATGCTAATTTACGTGCTACTATTATGTTTGGTATTTCGACTAGAATCTCCATCTGATTATTTCTACTAAGGTAATTTGATAGAAAATAATTTTATGTCTTCTCGTTAGTATTTTATAGTTTCTCTTCAGGGTTGTGCTGTTGTCATATCAAATATTTTGTTGTAAAGAATTATTTGCTATCACAAACACCTCATATGTAGCATCAAATTTATGTTTTAGTTTTCCAAGTGCTCTTGGAGGATTTCATATGAGAAGTTGGAAGTATATTGGA